GTGCAATGAATCTAAAATATATGAAAGTTTAATGTTTATCAGTACATTACAGAAAATAATGAACTTTATCATTATTTATCATTATTTTTGAGAAGGACCTGTGTATATGAACAGAAGATTCCAAACTCAGACATGTTTAGATAAGTTTTTGTTCAGATCTATAAAAACAGAGAGGTCACCTGAGCTTGGTTGATATTGTCAGTCAGCTCACTGATACTTCTCTGTGTGTCTTCAAGCAGTTTCTCCACTTCTTCACTGTTTCTTTGCAGCAGCAGCTGCAYACACATCACACACAGAGAAAAAGAAGGTTTCATTTATTGTTGCAGCAACACAACACAACACAACCTGCAGCTGCTGGTGTCAACACACCTCCTGACTGTCCCTCTGTGTGTCCAACAGGACCGTCTCGTGGTGTTTGCACTCTGCGATGCCACACTGGCAGCACACAGGCATTTTGTCCTGCCTGCAGTAATAAACGAAAGGCTTTTTATGTCGAGGGCACAGCAGCGTGGCCGTCAGCCCCTCGCCTGCCCTCACCTCAGGCTGTCTGCAGGACGAGGCAGAGCTGTGTGCAGCCTCGCTGAGGACCGACAGGGACGTGTTGCGGTTCAGACTGGGCCTGGTGCTGAACTGCTCGTTGCAGAAGGGACACTGGGGGCCGATGTTGGACTTGCTCTTGGTGTCCCAGTACATGCTGATGCAGTCTTTACAGAAAGTGTGACCACAGGGGATGGTTACTGGGTAGTTGAAACACTCCAGGCAGATGACACAGGTTAAACTGGAATTCTGAGTTTCCATGTTGTAGACAGATCCACAGCACTGCAGTGAAGACAACACTCACACGTTACTGACGCAATAAATCTGAACAATATGTAAAGGTACAATGTCATGAAGACCAGTACAAAAACTAGAAAACCAATACCACACATTTTTCTCTCATACAGATTATTAATCACATGTATTTCTACTGTACTGTAATGTTATCTGTGTACATAGTATTTGTTGATGTGTGTACATGTTAGAGCTGCAACCATACAGAAAATTCATGGTTCAGTTCAATACTTTCGTCTCACGGTTCGTTATTTTTTCGATACAAAAAAGAGAAATGTCCATGCC